TATTATTATTATTATTATTATTATAATTACATTTATATCCCGCCCTTCTCCTTGCGGACTCAGGGCGGCTAACAATTTGATAAAAACGAACATATAAAACACCTATTAAAATTGATTAAAAAGAAATATTTAAATTTATCAGATTAAAAGTAATTAAAACCCCTTTAAAATCCCTCAGGCCAGTCCCGCAAGCTGGAACAACCACGTCTTGAGGGCGCGGCGGAAGGAAGGGAGATCAGGGATCACCCTGATCTCTGGGGGCAGTTCGTTCCAGAGGGTGGGAGCTCCCACAGAGAAGGCCCTCCCCCTTGGGGTCGCCAGCCGGCACTGTCCGGCTGACGGCACCCTGAGGAGACCCACTCTGTGGGAGCGTACAGGTCGGTGGGGGGTAATCTGTGGCAGGAGGCGGTCTCGAAGATAGCCAGGCCCGATGCCATGGAGCGCTTTAAAGATAATAGTCAGCACCTTGAAGCGCACCCGGAAGGCCACCGGCAGCCAATGCAGCTCGCGCAAAAGCGGCGTAACATGGGAGCGACGAGTCCCTCCCAACACCGCCCGCGCGGCCGCATTTTGGACTAGCTGGAGCCTCCGGGTGCTCCTCAAGGGGAGCCCCATGTAGAGAGCATTGCAGTAGTCCAGGCGGGAAGTGACAAGCGCATGAGTGACCGTGCGTAAGGCGTCCCGGTCCATATCTATTTCACATAGATATGGTCTATGCTCCAATGCTCATCATGGCTATAATCAATTAAGGCTTTCATTTAGTACTTTAATATAATACTGTAATGAAGAGCAGGTTACTAGCCAGAATGATACTCTTGCCATATACAACATTTTTTGCTAATGGTAAGAACAGTATCAATCAGTTTTGACCAGTATGCCACAAGCACAAGTAAAGCCCAAAGTACATGCTTGCACTATTCCTTGTAGAACAAACTGTCTCATTTGGAGCAATGTTTCTCAATTGTGGCAACTTTGGAATTCTGGGGTTGAAGTCCACATATCTTAAAGTTGCCAAGATTAGTGTTGAGAAATGCTAATGTAGAGATTACTTTGCAAGCCTGCCTTTCACAACTTTGAGGGATGTACAGTGCACTGGCACACAATATGTGTGTGTATGTGTGGATAGATAATAATAATAATAATAATAATAATAATAATAATAATAATAATAATAATAATAATAATAATAATAATAATAATAATAATAATAATAATAATAATAATAATAATAATAATAATAATAATAATAATAATAATAAAGTTGGAACGGACCTTGGAGGTCATCTAGTCCAACCCCCTGCTCAGGCAGGAAACCCTATACGATTTTGGACAAGTGGCTGTCCAGCCTCTTCTTAAAAACTTCCAGTATTGGAGCATTCACTGCTTCTGGAGGCAGGTTGTTCCACTGGTTAATTGTCCTAACTGTCAGGAAGTTTCTCATTAGTTTTAGGTTGCTTCTCTCCTTGATTAGTTTTCATCCATTGCTTCTTGTCCTGCCTTCCGGCGCTTTGGAGAATAGCTTGACTCCCTCTTCTTTGTGGGAGCCCCTGAGATATTGGAACACTGCTATCATGTCTCCCCTCGTCCTTCTCTTCATTAAAGTAGACATACCCAATTCCAGCAACCGTTCCTTATATGTTTTAGCCTCCAGACCTCTAATCATCTTTGTTGCTCTTCTAGAGTCTCTTTGTACTCTTTCTCGTGTCTCAACATCTTTTTTACATTGTGGTGACTAAAACTGGATGCAGTATTCCAAGTGTGGCCTTACCAAGGCATTGTAAAGTGGTATTAATACTTCACATGATCTTGATTCTATCCCTCTGTTAATGCAGCCCAGCACTGTGTTGGCCTTTTTGGCAGCTGCAGCACACTGCTGGCTCATATTTAAGTGATTGTCCACTAGGACTCCGAGGTCCCTCTCACAGTTACTACTATTGAGCAAGGTGCCCCCTATACTATACCTGTACAAAGATGATTAGGGGACTGTAGGCTAAAACATATAAGGAACGGTTGCTGGAATTGGGTATGTCTAGTTTAATGAAGAGAAGGACGAGGGGGGACATGATAGCAGTGTTCCAATACCTCAGGGGCTGCCACAAAGAAGAGGAAGTCAAGCTATTTTCTAAAGTGCCTGAAGGCAGGACAAGAAGCAACGGATGGAAACTAATCAAGGAGAGAAGCAACCTAGAACTAAGGAGAAACTTTTTTTGTCATACTGTAGAACGCCCAGAACGGAGTTCCGGCACCTTTTTTGGATGGAACCTTGTAAGGTAGGCAAGGCGGGTTGTATGACGTGTGTGAGTTCCGGCACCTTTTTTTTTTTTTTTAGAAAAAAAGCACTGGATATAGATATAGATAAGGAGGGAGGGAGAGACAGAGCGCTCAGGTAGTAAATAATTTTCAATTCTGTCCTTTAAAAATCCAGTTTGATAGTTATTTTTGAGAGAGCTCTGAGAACCAGATTAAGGATTTTAAGAAGCTGAATATCTACTGTATGCTTACTACTATATGTGCTTAAATCTTGTATCCATGCAAGTATGGAGCTTTATCTAAATAAGTGCAGTTCCACTTTTCACTGAATATGCAGAGGTTTAATAATATATTGTGGGCATTTTTATTTTATTTATTTATTAGGTTTTTATCTAGGCCTTTATTACTTTGTAGCTAACTCAAGGCCACAAACATGCATTATATACTTGCCTCCTCCTCTTTTTCCCCATAACAATATCCCTGTGAGATGAGTTGGGCTGAGAAATATAATGAGACTAAATTTATCAAAAAGGTCTGTGGATATTTGTCAATTGTGCTTTTATTTTCTAAGCTTTCTTTGTTTTGTTTCCCAGGTATAACAATACCACTTCTAATGGGTATTCAAAGAGTTTGTATTCTTTGATTAGAACATATTGACAAATGGTAGCCTTCTGCAACTATTTTTTTTTTCTTTCTCACCTTTATTTCAAAACCATTCATTGCGATAATTGTGGGTAACATGCAAGAGGTGGTTTGTGTAAAATAACTAATTGGGTTCCTTGGTTGCAAAGATGTAATTTCTGATAAGAAAGACAAACAATTATAATTTACCATTGTTCTCACTATCAACATTTGAGAAGATGCTTATTTGGCTATTGTTTTCTTTCCATGGCTCTTCTATAGAGGAAGATAGGGAATATCATGTTAAGACCAACTTTTCTCTGGTTCCCATTGCATATGGCTTCAGATACTTCTCGGGCATATTTACTGCAAGAGATGACTACCGCGAATAATAAATGAATAATGTTTAAGTTCAGCATAACACAATTACCTTGCAGTGACCAGGCCATCCATACTAAAACTTAATGTACTAATTTTTCACTGATGTAATTTATCTGCTCTCCACTAGTGACATGAGCAGATAACTGATTACAGGTAGTCCTCAACTTAAAATCACAACTGAGTCCAAAATTTTTGTTGTTAAGTGAGACATTTGTTAAGTCAGCTTTTCCTCATTTTACAACCCTTCTTGCCACAATTGTTAAGTGAATCACTGCAGTTGTTAAGCTAGTAACATGGTTGTGTAAACCGAATCTGGCTTCCCCATTGACTTTGCTTGTCAGAAGCTTGCCAAGCATCTGAATTTTGATCACATGACCATGGGGATGCTGCAAAGGTTGTAACTGTGAAAAATGATCATAAGTCACCTTTTTCAGTGCCATTGTAACTTTGAACAGTCACTAAATGAAGTGTTGTAAGTCAAGGACTATCTGTATGTTCACTTTAGTAAAAAAAAAACAAGCAGTACATGTCAATTATCAATTCTTGACAATGAACTGATTATTATCTTATTTGATCACTGAGAGATCCGAGTTCGCATCTATTTCACCTAAGAAAATAATGTTTTTGTTATTCCATTTGTTTGTATTAGTGAAGGCTGTTTCTTGCTTTATTATTCACTAATGTTTCTGATATTTTACTACATTGAATCATTGTTGTTTTTGCTGGCAGAAGTAGCAGCAGTAAAGCTGTTTTGGAGACAACTCTTTTGAACTACAGTTGTATACAAGGATTTGCTGCCTATTTGTTACAAGACAGTCTCCAGCCAATGGAGAAAGGAGAGAGGCATCATTATTAGTGTAGATAAAACTGAAATAAATAAATCAGTAGATCGACTCACAGGAAGCAGACTCATAAATCTTATATATCTGTAGTATGATGATTTTTCACATGTTCCTCCAGCTAATTCTTCGGATTATAGAGATACTAAAGTTCAGTTTTGCCCCTTTTATTGATGCTTTGGATGTTGCTTTGTCTCTTTTAGGACTTTAATATAAGAAGTGTAATTTAAGAAATGGTTTGCTGTGTTTATGATAGAAACAATCTTTGTAGAGATGTAATTTATCTGTGCTAGAAGAGTGCTTTTACTTTGATGTCCAGGGGCGAAATCAAATAGATGATAATGGTATGATTCCTATTTCTGGTTATTGCTTGACATCTTGAGGACTGTCTGATGGAAAGGTGTCATATAAATTTGACAGATAAATGAAACCAATCAGTTTTAGCCCTTGCTCTTTTCTTTTGTTGGTTTTCTTTTGGATGATGCTAGATTTTAAACTATCAATGACCATTTTCATTTTAAAAAAAACATACTATAATGGTAAGTCACTTTGGGAATTGCATGTTCTTTAAATCTCAAACGTGGGATAATATTAAACCTTTCCTTCTATGTTGCTCTTTAAAAGAAGCTGACCTGCCCTGATTTTTGTAGGTCTCTCTTTTTTAAAAAAAAGAAAAATCCAATATCTTTTCTTTTCTCTCCTTTACTCTCTAGCTCTGTACTTGCCCTTGTGTCTTAAAATATAAAAGCAATTCTCCCTGTCTTGCTTTGATTTTTAAGAATCATATAAAAACAAAATCAAAATGCCTTAAGAGCTGTTATGATACGGTATGTGCTGCCCTTTGCTTGCCAATAGCCTGGAAATGTGGAATCAAATATCTTGTGTTTCTTGTCTTCTTTAATATTTAAGGTCTCTTCAAGATCTCTCCCGGCAGACAGATATTCCTTATGGTACCGTTTTGGATTCTGCAGTCTATGAACATGTACGGGTGAAAGGGATGAATCCTTTTGAGAAGAATAACATGTATTCAAAGTTGTGGCAGATGATTAATCGAAGTAATGGATCTGAGAACAATGTGCAAGAATCCCAGATAGGCATTCATAAGGTAAAGTCCAACCTTTTTCTTGATCATTTGAAAAATTCTTAGGAATAATGGATTTATTTTGCAAAGAAGTTTGCTACAAAATTGTTAGGACATGAAAAATAGTCACCTCAGAGTGATTTCAGCTTGTGGCTCATTCTACTGCACCCTAAAATTGGGACTGATTTATGTATTTGGTTACATTTTTTTTTTCAAAAGAAAAGTCTAAGAACTGTTTTTCCTTGAAAAGGTTAAGCCAGTTGTTCGCCACTTTTTTTAAACATATTTGTGTAATTTAGCTCTACAAGTAGACAGGGGGCAGCTATTCACAGGTACTTAGAACATTGTTTCTCAACTTGAGCTACTTGTTAACATGTAACTGTTAACATGGCTGGCTGGGGAATTCTGGGATTTGAAGTCCACACATCTTAAAACTTGCTGAGGCTGAGAAACCCTACCTTAAGATGACAGATTTCACCTATTCATTAAGGGAAGCAAGATTAGCCCCTTGTGATTTGTATTGCAGCTTCAGGGCTACAAATTATACTAGAAATATAGAAGCCAATTCACCAGTCTTGCCAATTTTCTTTTCCTGATTATAGTAGAGATCAAGACCTTAGTAATGCCAAATAGTAAGTGAGAAAGAAAGATTGAAATCATGCATTTTCCATTGTGCTTCAGAGTTTTACAGAGTTAGTCGCAATTAGTCAAACGTTAAAGAGTTTCTTAAATAAGAATAGTTCACCACTGAGCCAATTTGCTTAAAGAGATGAGGGACTCTTTTCCTTTGAGTTGGAGCTGGAGTAGGATGAAGAGGAGGAGGAGCAGGAGAAGGAAGAGGAATTTAGTAAAAGATACAGTTTTCTGATTAAAAAAAATGGTTGATCTGCTTTATGTTTTTAAAAAGCTGGCATGCTTCTGTTGAAAGAAAAATCAGGTCCAGTTCCAAGCTGGGAGTAAGACATGGAAATAAAATGGAGGCTAAGATGCTGGAAATAAAATGGAGGCTACTTAGGAAAAAAGGTTCTTGTTTATTGATGAGCAGAACCAGCAACAGCGTGCAGTTTTGGGACAGCTGACAAAATAGCTGAGTCAGTGGATGGATCTTTATAGGGTTCTTAGACTTTGAAGTGGAAATGTTTCTGGGCTGTGCAATGAGGTGGGCTTTTGTGTCTTTTGCTAGTCTGAGGAGGGTGTTGGGTTAATCCTATTATGTCCTAAATAAAGATCATGTCCTGTCCTTAAATTTGGGTGGGGGAATGTAAATTCTTAATCCCATCAGCTGTATGGGCTGAAGGCATTTTGTTTATGAATAGATTGGCCCAGTCTTTTGTAACAGGTACAAAATATCTATCTCTCAAGACTTGAGGCTTCTACTTGAGGCTAATAAGAAAGATTGGGGCTGCTTTCTGCCTTTGTTAAGATTTTTCTCCATTTCTCCTTTGGGAAATATAATATTCTGCCTCTTTTAATATTAAGAATAAAAAATATTTTAATCTGGGGAGGAGGGCCTTCCTACACTTCAAAGAATCTGAAAGTCTGGTTCTCCACAGGTTCATGCTTGTTAAATAACTGATTTTATAGGTATGTCTATTTGTAAAAATGGAGCCCAACCAATAGTTTATCCCCAATATTCCCTGTCACTCCTTTTTGCCATCCAAAGTTTCCAAATTTCCTTTATGCCATTTGTGTTAGTTTATAGATATATAGCACCCTACTTTCAGCTTATTCTTCCCCATTCCCTCCTGCAGTTATCTGTGGCAAAAAAAACATATCTTTTCCCCAGTGAATAGACAGAATCACAATGTGCTTAAATAATACCTCAGTACATTTAACTTGGTATACAAAATATTTAAAGTAGGAAAACCGTAAATTACTGTCAAGTGAAATAAACCTTTTGGATTTCACAATAAAAGAAGGTATATTTTGCAAACCAGGATGTTAATATTCAGGCTACAGCTCAGCAGTAACTGAAATGCAGAAATAATGGTTCTTCAATTCTTTTTTCTCTCTTTCTCTTTTTTTCCCTAATTCTTACTGGGATAAAGAATGACTTTCTTTATTTTGCTGACAAATAACCTTTTAACTATGATAGTTAAATTCCTTGCACTGACAAGAATTTCTAGTGCTAATGATGCCACAGTGTTTTTCTGAGTCACATACTTAAAGTGAAATAGATTGGAAATCTTTCCTTTTATATATAATCAAGACTGAGCCTAGGAACCACACTGGCGCAGTTTTTTTAGCAATATTATGGAAGAAGGTGTGAAAGCCTTCTTCCAAGCTGTTTTTCAACATCCCACTCCAGCCTATAGCCCAGAATTTTCAACTTCCATCCAAGTATTATACGGAATTGTCCCTGCTTAGTTTGCAAAATCACCAGGAAATCACAGGATTGTAGACCAGATTGGGAAGTAAAAATCACAAACTTTCCAGTAGATAGCAATAGCAAATTATTTTTTACTGTTATCACTATAATGGACATGTTCATGTAGTCTCCATTAATCAAGCTCAGTGAATATGCAAGTCTAAGAATTCTATTTATAGTATGGAATCATGATATCTATAAATAATGCATCTACGTGTATTTACACATGTAGCATGACTGTAGTATTATTATTTATTCCTCTTATTATCTCCTTTACTTCCCTCTTTTATTGGTATTATTATTATTATGATTATCATTAGTCTGTTGCTTTGCGTGTACATTGGGAGCTTCTGCACTGGAGACAAATTTCTCTAATCATACTTGGCCAAATAAATATTCAATTTACTTCAGTTCAATATAATACATCATGAACTGGAAAATTATGCCCTAACCTTTAATCTAATACTATCAACATAGATTATGTGCCAGAAGGGTGGGTCTAACTAGCATACTTGCTAAATTTACCTAGTTGCTAATTATCTATATAGCAATGAACAATTATGAAAAAAGATTGTTAAGATTCTGTCAATAGTTATCCCAAAGATGCTTTTTCATGAGGCAACTGAATCTCCATAGACATTCTGTCAATAGCCATAATCCCCATTTTTTTTTCTCTGAAGGTGAAAAACTGATTCCTTATACTACTAAGTACAGTTACAGAGGAGAAATCCATAGAGTCCCAGATGCCTGGGCTTGGAAGTCATGGAATATTAGAGGCCCAATCCAGTGCCCTTGCTCTTGCCTCTATTGCTCTACCCTTTGCTGTCTGCCAAGTGCTGTCCATGGGGAATCATTGGCTGGCACTTATTTATTTTTAATTGAAGCATCCCTGTGACACAGAGCACTCAAGCACTTTTCAAAATACAAAATTGGAACAGTCAGCCCAGTTTTATCCAGATGTTAAGATTTTCTTTTTCACACTCATGGACTACTGTATAACTGTACAGTAGCACCTTTTCACTTGATTAAAGCAGGTAATGGATGCCTAAGTTTAAAGGATGGAATGGAGTAACACAATTTTTCAAGCCAAGCTACCACTTCAAATTGGATCACTGCAGAGGTTTGAGTTGAGATAACATCTTAAGATGGAACAGAGGCACTTCCTACAGTATAGGTCAAATATATAAATTAAATGTAGTAGCATTTATAATAATTAACCAAGCCAATGCTGTAATAAAGATTAGTAGTGTAAATGGAAGCCTGATTGAACTGTTCTCTGTGTATGAACGATATAGAACCTTATCTTATTAAACAGCTCTATATCTAAGGACCATCTTGCATTTTTCATTGTACACCTAACTGTGAGGTCAGCAATAAGAGCAAAAGAAGAGTGGTTCCTAGAGAACTGAGAGTAGAAATCAGTCCAACCATTTTTAATCCAGTTAATCAATCTGCCATTTTGTTTTTGATTGTAATATTCATTTATTAGGCATCTCCAATATATTTGCAATATATTTTTAAAAGCCTAGATTAAAAATGACTTATTTTTATTAAACAGATAGAGACTGCAAATAAAATAGATGAAACTGGGTTAGGGTTCATTTCATAATTATTTATCCTTGTCCATGTTGATTTTTTATTAATAAGAACAATTGAGCAACTTAGACTGGGATAAGTACATAAGATTACTTTGGTTTCTCTGTGACTATACCTGAGCCAGATATATCAATGAAATTTTAATAACACAGATAGGGAACAATCCTAATATCCTGTCAAGTTTCCACCACCCAATTTTAGCATCACACAACTTGTCAACAAATGAAGAGTGTCTTAGCAAAACTGATGCCTAATAGCAATGAAGTTCAATATCTATCAGCCAGCTAGAAAGAATAGCCAAGTGAGATTTCTTAAAAGAAATAAATAAAGGTAGGAGCATTGACATTGTTTTTGTGAATACAGAAACCTAGAATATTTTTATAGAAACATATTTTTAAAATAATAAAGTATCCTTGGTATGCAGGCTTTACAATCTAAACCAGGGGTGTCAAACTGCCAGCCCATGGGCTGGTTACATTATGTGGAGGCCGCACCCATCCCAGCTCTGGCAATGCAAAAAAAAGTCATGATACATTGCGACATGTCACGTGATGCAGCGAATTTTACACCCGTGACCTAACCCATGCTATCCTATTTCCCAGGGATTTTATCTTTGGAAATTCAGACATATAGCAACCATGTGCACATGTACATATTAAATGACAGAAGTAAAATATGTTTGCATCTTATTTTACCTGTCTGCTTTCAAGTATTTGTTGCTGTTGGGCCCAAGCAACCAGGAATGACACATGAAATTATTTCTGAGCAGGTCTCGGTTTTTGTTTGCCCACAAATAGAATCCTGCCAGACTAAAGCAACTATTTGCATAACTGTTAGATATACTCTGTGTATTGCTAGGGAGAAATCTGCCTTCACTCTTTTCCTGTCCAGCAGACATTCCAAAACTCCATTGTCACTTTGTCTTCAGGGAAAAAGACTCTCCCTCTGCAACTCCAGATTACATTCTACCATAGTTGTAGTAGGTGTAGTGGAAAGGGGACATCCCATACTATGGTTAAGACTAAGTGGTCTTTCTAGTTCCCCTTTTCAAGACTTACCT